TGGGCAAATCTTATGGAGACTTCGCCACGGTCTCTAACGCTCATCTTTTCTCAACCGGGCTTGGTGGCGGCAGCAGAGGAGTTCTTGTCAAAGGTAGATTCCAAAATTCTTTCGGCTTGCCTCATAGTCTGTCTAAGCCTGGGTGCGATGCACCACGAACTATGACGCCGACAGATCATCCGAAATTTCTTCGAGTGACCGGAAAACCATAATTTCTTGACTTTATCACACGGAGACTTGACAGTGCTGTTTAGAAAATTCCTTGCATAGCTTTTCGGACATCGCTACGCAGTTTACCATTCGTGACTTTGCTGATCTGCCAGCAGAGGACCGCCTCAGCAAAACTGCTTATACAAATTATCTTCTTGATGAAGGCACTAATATTGTCCATCAGGAGTAATGATTTCCTACTATGTACTGACAGTTGTTTCCCACAGTCTTTAATGCGGCACACTGTATGCAAACCTAAACTTTTTGAATATCAGTCTCACACTCTCACATTTTTCATCGCTGCTGGTCATGAGTTCCAAAAACTGATTGAATGCTACACACTTACTGCAAAAATCTTCATTTTTATACAGCAATCTCATTCTAAGAGCCAAGCTTCAGAGAACAGCTATACAACGTTTCAATTTCAATTGACTAATCAGATTCATTACATGGCGCAGAAAGCGACGACAATACGTGTTTCTGACACCGTTTGCGACTGCTTTCTGTATTTTCCAGTGACTGGCATGACTGTAAATTAATTTTAACGCCAAGCATAGTTTGTGATTTGTGAATGTGTGGCCCAGCTCTGGTGGCCAATTCGTCACTGACAGATTCCAGTTATTACTTTTTCAGTTTGCCTCTATGCCTTGTTCCATATGGGTCTGGCACACAATAATGTACGATGATGATAAGGTACTGAGCCATCTCTCCATGGTCCAACACCGAAGTCTAAGTTTCCACTTCACTTATTTCATCAAAGGAACTATTGATTCCTGTTCAGTAAATTTCTTGCGAAAAAATTTTTACGTCATCAAGAGTCCATATTAGTGAAAATTACACCAGTAATAACTGGGTGGACGTTAGATTAAACGGGACTTCACTGATGTACTGACAGCTGCATTCCATCGATTTCTTAAACCACGCCGCAGGCGATTCAAGCATTTTTGATTGCTTCTTGAACATCCGTTTGACAACTTCCGTCGCTGGAAATTTCGGCTAAAAGATAGCAGTTTGTTGACATTCTGGATATCCTACACAGTATTTTTTCCGTTCGCCATTACCAAAGGAACGATGAATAAATGCACCTTCACTTTAGTCTGAAACATGACTTTTAGCGATTCTACTCTGACCCTACTTCTGACTGCTGTTTTACAATTTTGCCCATTTCCCGCTAATTTGAGCAGCAGACTCCTTTGATTGATTCGCAATATTTTCGTTGGTCCCAGATCAACATTACAGTCGCATTGAGATGCCTACGCGAAACATCTATTGAGGAGCGGCTTATCAGCAGCTGAAAACGATCTTCGGATCGATTGGCACAATTTATTCCGCATAAAATATCAGTTATTCGAACTTACGAAAGGCAGCCTAGTGTATTTTGTGCTTCGAACAGACTATCAATAACAACTTACATCCAGCTCTACAATGTCGGTTTAAAATCAGTTTCCTTGTATATACTTCAAACAGCGGCATTAATAAGAGCACACAGAGGGCGACTGAATGGTCTCCAGCAACGCTGGTTATAAAGCAAACCCTGGCAGAATAAAACGGTACTTGAAAAACAAACATATTCATCCTTACGGGCACCAAAGAGTTGTTTAGAAACAGAAGACATGGTTAGACCATTTAAAGGGAACCCTACAAGTCTCAATGACTTATCCTCTGGTCACATGAGAACGCAAAAATGGACGCGAACAGCCGTCAAGAAACATACCACGTGGCTAGAGAAACTACACGAAATGATGACAATGAGGAATGTTTCGTCGATGCAGTAGACGCATCTTCGTATCAAAATACGAAGCACTTAGCTGCACGGACAGCGCGAATTTTAAGCAGTTAGCAGTGCTGTTAAGTAACTAAAGGTGACCATGACAAAACTACATTTTTTACGTCCGATGACAAAGCCGATGTCTAAACAGAAATCAAAGCCGAGAAACATGCTTTGGCCTGAATTAGTGATTTCACAAACGGCAAACGAAGACATACATTGAAAGTGCTCAAAAACTTTAAGTAGTACTTACGGAACCGGATGCAGAGCCAAAAGATTTTGTGAGCAGAAGAAGTGCTTCTTTCTTGATGGCTTTATTCACCCCGTTCCAATTAATTTGGAGTAATATCATCTCCACAGCCTTTCGTTTCATGGTAGACTGGCTGGCCTGCAGCCAAGTCCGTAGAATATTCCATGTTTTTGGGGATAACTTTATCATGTTCAATGGAAGTTCGTGAAAAATTGTCGACCAGTTCTAAAATATCACAGATACAACGGATGTTGAAAGCTGATGCCAAATATGCTCCAAATGGAATTTTCATCAAGTTTTCATCAACATTATGTCAATTATACGTCGATTAATTAGGAATATGCTTTACGGAGTGAATGTCTCTAGAGAGCGATTTTATTTCATTTGGATTCATCCGAAATCATCATGAAATTTGTGGGCTATCCCAACAAAAATAGACTGCTCTGGTCATATCACATATTCTCACAAGCTCATATAACCTGTTGCGACTGATGAACTTGTCATTCCCTTCGAAAGAATCAGGGACCTTTGGATGAGCTGACTAGCTTGAAGAAAAAAGTACTTTCGAACCATATGACGAACCAGACGCTGACTACGGGCATCCACGAAATCGGCACTGATGAATCCCCGGCGGGTTAGCAACCATTACTGGCAGGAAAGTACAGCTCATCGTTTAATTCGAAAGCTGCTCTCACCGACTTCAAAATTCCATTGCCCGCGATGTTCAAGAAAGCAGCTACCCCCCCCAGAACTCGACTGAACGCTATTTCCTTCCACAGAAAACTATAACGATGAAT